TTGTTCCTGCTGCCCTGCCAGGACCCCTTGGAAAGGTGAGTGGAAGCCAACCAGTGCTGGCACGGCTGCGGATGCTGGTGGTGCCGCTTCAGAGCCCTCCCGACAGCACGTGCGCTGCAGGTTGTGCTGAAAGTTGAACTTTTTTCCTCTTTGAACAGTCTCGGAGCCCATTCTGCAAGAAAGGTTTTGGAGAGACGTTGCCAGCGTATGGCACATAAGTGATTTCATACTTCTTATTAAGTAATAAATTTTCTATGTGTATTACAGCAATTCATAAGGCTGCGCTAACTTACCTGTCTTGGCTTTGGATCTGCGCCAGTCATACATGAACAAAATTGCGGTGCTTGGGCTGGAGACTGACAGAAAGAGTGCTTGAAGGGCTCTAACAGTATTTAAGAGGAGTGCAGAGGCTGACCTTTTTCCCTTTTAACCTTCCCTCTGTCATTTCTACAGAGAGATACTCCAAGAAATTCAGCGCCTCAGGCTGGAACATGAACAAGCCTCTCAACCCACCCCTGAGAAAGCCCAGCAGAACCCGACTTTGTTGGCTGAACTCAGGCTTCTACGGTAAAAGAAATATCCAAAGCTCGTGTGCGTTCGGTCCCTGGGCCAGGCAGCCCCCGGGGTAGCACTGCCTGCTATTGGGAAAAGCGTGTCTTCGGTAGCCTTAAAATGTGATTTAAAATGCTGCGTTCTGAAGGCTGACAGCATGTTGCAATTTTTTTAAGTGGATTTAGAAGTGAATAAAAATGTCTCTTAAATGAATTCCATTTGTATAGTTCAGAAAACTGTTTGTAGAGGAGAAACCGATAGGAAAAGCTAGCAGAAACAGCGTTAGCCGCTTATCATTTATTGTCCAAAGGAGTAGAGCTGAAGATAAATGTCAGTTATTTGATTAGTCAGCGAAACTCCAGAAGTTCATACCTGCAGATCGTCAGACGTACATCCAAAGTCAGAGAACAATCTTCAAAGCCTCTTTGATTAAGTTTGCATTTTGAAGTGTCAGGGAAAAATTGTCAGTATTTATAAAGTGTTTCATAGTTTGGGTAGGGTCAAGGGCGTTCTCTGGCTATATTTTATTTCATCTTCTGTTACTAGTTAATTCAGAGCTCCACCTTCAAAAATGCCATCTGTAATCTCAAGTAGGTTCTAACATTTAAGCTCTTGGCCGCAGAAGCTCTTTGCAAACTGCATTGTATTTGATTCGTTGGGCTGAACTTTTCCTGCCCACGCAGGAGATGGCAGGGTGGTTCAGCTTCCCAGGAATGTTTAGAGGTTCCCCATAAAGTGCAGTGCTCTTGCGATGGAGCTACTGCAACTGCAGGCAGTGTCTGCAAGGAATAAGGCAGACCCCTGTTGCAAAATCTAAGGCTTGTGACTTCTTTCATTACTTTTTCATGCAGAATTTGCTGCGTTATAGTACATTTCGGTATCTCACTGATATTTTTCATTCTATTACCTAATGATAATAGCTGACAGATTTTCTAGCTTTATGCTCTACATAGCTATGTATAATTTTTAAACGTTTAAGAAACTGGAGAGGATGCAGAATATACCCACAAATGTTATGCAAGAGGTGGCGAAAAGAGAGATTGCGGGGCAACTCGATGTGCTCTTTGACCGAACAGAGAGAGATGTAAGAACCAAGAGCTTATACTGGAAACCAGCCACGTTCAGACCGAGAGCAAAGCACGTGCTTTTTAAAGCGAGGTAATAATTTCAAGAGCAGTGATAGAGTTTTCAGTCCCTAGATGTCTTTCCTGAAGACGTTTTTCAAAAAATACAGGTTATTGGGAACAAAACAGAGCTAACCAGGAGGAATTAGACAGCCTGTACGTTTCTAAAGAAGAAAAAGCTCAATGACCGTTGTAGCCATTTCTGGCCTTGAAATATGTAAACACCACTGACAAATAGAAGAGTTACCGGAAAAAAAAAAGGTTGAATTAAGCATGTAAAGCCTGTCAAGTCATCACGTTGTCCAGTCTGGCCTTCTGTGTAACACAGGCTGGGCGATTTCTCCCTGCAGTGCTCCTACAGAACCCTCTTTGGCTGGGCTGCAGCATCCATGTAGACAGACCTTCGAGCTTTCATTTCAGAAGTGGAAAGAATACCGCGTCCCCCGATACTGTTAATGTGATTGTCAGTTAATTTCTGCGCCTTGTCTGTGCTCAGTGGACTAAAAGCGTGCACGTTATTTCTAACCTTCGTAAGCCTAGTGCCGTTTTCCAAACCTTGTCTCTCCCCGTGCTTTTGTCTACTGGGCTAAAAACGTCTTTTTCGACGTTCCTCTTTGAGTGTGAGTATTTAGAGATTTTGATTCCCTCCCCTCTTAACCTCGTCTTGCATAAATAGCTTGAACTGTTTCAGTTTCTCCATAAAGCAGGTTTGCCAAATCTCCACCTATCCCTTCAGCTTGCTGTCAAGATCTCTCAAGTCCTCTGCATCTCTTCTATATATAGACTGAAGTGTACTGGCTGGAGTATCTCATACGTAGTCTCACTGGTGCTACAGACAGAACTAGTGTTAGCTTTCTTACCGCCAAACGTCACTCTCACTAATAATTTCAAAGTGCACGTTAATTGTCTGGACTGCACAGCATCACAGTGGAAGTTCACAATTAGCAGGTTATCTGTGATGTGAAAGTACTTCACAAAGTTACAGCTAACAAGAAGATGTTCCCCAAGCCTCTGAGCAGCGTGTGATGACCTTGCCTTTGATTACATTCAAGCACATGTGAGCAAATGATCCCAGTTGCCGTGTAGAATTCAGGCTGTGAAGCATGAGAGAGAGAATCCGTGGAAAATCAACGTGTCTCAGGTTTAAAAGTCTGCCGGCGACACAGCCCGTAGAGATGAGTCAGCTCTACCACGCTGCTGGCAAGCGTAACCTTGGGAGAGGCAGGGCTGGGTCCCTCGTCCTTGCAGATCCCTGCCTCGTAACGCAGATGTGCTTGGCTGCTTCTGCTTGCAAGTCTGCGCACAGGTGCCAAGGACCCGTTTGCCACGGTGTACGCCTCGAAGTGCATCTCCCCGCTTGGCCCTGGGGGCTGTCCTGTCTTTGTTCTCTTACACGTCTAACAGCCTGTGTCACGGACAAGCGGTACCTCCTCTCTCTTCACTGGAGGTCATCTCAAAAAGAGATTGAATAACCTCGACCAAAATCAGGAATGCACACTGACGTTGATTCTTCGTTAACAACTACGTTTGGAGAGCGATACTTATTTAATATGTTGATTTTTACATTATTTCTAGTTGTTAACCAGAATGTTGTATTAAACAACTGTAGAATAAGAGCTACAGACTCTGAACTGACCTAGAGAGAGAAAAAGGACCGTATCGACCGATAAAGCTATGTCTGTGGTGGTTCTTCAACACATCCTAGGTGACCAGGCATGTGTAATCTTCTCTTTATTGCCTTATTTTTGTGATATGTTTCAGCATTTAATAACCACATTCTTCAAAATACAAAAAGATGTTGAAAGAAGTACCCAGGAGAGTTAATACTTCACGGTCTTCTGTCCTTTTAAGAACCAGTATAGAAACAAGTTAATTCTGTTACGTGGTCATTGGGCTGTATGTTTATGGTGTGCCATTTTCACAGTCCCCGTCGTGAAGGCAAGCCATACGCAGCAGATTTATGCCGTCTGAGTAAATGACCTGTTTCTTTTCCAGACTCTGATGTCCAATTGGTGTTTCTAAAACTAGCTGGTTATTAAAATGCATGGAAGGATTTATCCATAGCATATCCCGTGATATAATCTAAGACATTTTAAAATTTAGTCTATCAAATGGAGTGCCTTTAACTTTGGATTAGGCCATTATGATGTCAACAAAAATAACTGTAGATTAATAAATCAGCCTTTCTAATCTCTTTTTTTTGTTACAGTTATTTATCATTACCTGTGATTGGGATCTGTGGGGCCCAGCATTTCTCAAATCACATAAGATACTGCACTTCTGACGTGTTGACGTTCATCTTTGAATTTCCCCTTACACTAGTCGCTTATTTATTTTTTAAATATAAAATAAGACCAAACAGTCGTATTTCCTTAAATATCTCACAGATAGGCATCTGTAGAAATACAGCGGTGTTCTGATGCCAAGGAAGGGGAAGGTCACTTATCTCCTTTTCTTGTTACCTGGGTTCTGGCACAGCAAATATATCAAAGATTGTGTGTCACGTTGGTGGGCAGAAATAGCTCCGCCACGTCACCGTCCAGACAGGTGATAGCTTTTCCTTTCCGAACACATCTGCAGCCTTTTCTCCGCTTTTTTTTTTCTCTCTGTCTTTCCTCCCATAGTTCATTCTTGCTTGTCTGAAAACTCTGCAGGATGCCTGGGTCTGATGTTAAGAGGGTTCTTAAAAGGAAGAAAAAAGCAGGCTTTTTTCCTCAAAATGCAGTGCTCTTGAAAAGGGCTTCCTACTCCCAAGGTGCTGAGCGCAGATTTCTGGATTTTAAGTGAAAAGCCTGGTTGTTATGTGTAGGTTTCACAGTCATTGTACTGCACTTTGCTTTGTTTTTTTTTTTAAATTGGAAGGGGGGGGGAGTGATGAAAACCAAAGACACAGTTATATGGGTGAATTTCCTGAAGTGGTTTTGAAATGCCCAAGGTTTATTTTCTCTTTCTTTTATGTAACGTGAACAGACAGAGAAAGGATGAATTGGAACAGAGGATGTCTGCACTTCAAGAAAGCAGAAGAGAACTGATGGTGCAGCTTGAAGGGCTGATGAAACTGCTCAAAGTAAGCCATCTCCTGTCAGAAATGCAGTGCATCCTTCTCTTCCCCAGGTCGGGAAGTCACTATTGCTGCTCTGAGATTCCCGCTTTGCTGTTGTGCCATTGTAAGTACTTCAGGAGGAATAGGAATTTGCCAAAAGTCATTTCTACAGTGGTTCTGTGTATCAGTGCAGATGGTTAATGGGTTTTCAGGTTCATATGCTGCTGCTTTGGTTAAAATATCAAGAACCCGTAAGATCTGGAAGGCTTTAAAGAAGTGTTAGAACTGCGTGCTGTGCTGGGTGCCAATTCAGTTCTTCCAAGTCTAGCTGGAAAATAAACTGGCATGGTGCTGTGTTTCACCAGGTAGCGTTACACTGACCCTGCCACGTCTGCGGAGGGTTTTTGCTGGAGAGTATGATGGTATTGGCTCTGATCTGTAAATGGATGTTGTTGTTTGGATTTCTGGTGAGGGGCTGTTGTTATTTTTTGTAGAGTCCTGCTAGGGTTGAGCTCATAGTTCATGACTATAGCCTGAAATACTATTATGCATTTATTCTTTCCGTTCTTTAAATTGGACAAAAGCCTCTCTGTAAAGTGAATGGCAAAACATCGTCCTTACTCAGAGAGGTTTTGGTCTAAGACGAGATGCAACAAAGATACTATAGGCAATGGAAGAAGTGGGAGAGAGATGGCAGCAACGACGCTGGCAGGAGCAGCCCCAGGGTTTATAGATGAGGTATAGGCACATCTTGGTAGTTCCAGAAAAATTTAGAGCTTGCCTGCACTTCAAGGTCATAATGAATTCACATCATCTGTAAATCCGAAGTGCAGTCACTCTTCAGTTTGGACCTACATTCTGGAGCAGGGGTGTCTGTACAAGAGGCCATGATCAAATACCCTTCAGAGGTGCCTGTTTTATTTAGTTTCCCTGTGCAGATGAGCACATGGTGTTAATATTTGGGAACTAATTTTTTTTTTAAGTCAATGGTTCTACACACTGTATTTTTTTTCCTGTTCAGCCTGTTAATGTCTGCTTTCTAAAAATATTGAAGACAATCACTTGCTAAATTCACCTTGATTTCCTCAGACCCTAAACCTTTGTAAGTTGAAGTGCGATATCTCTGAAAATGGGCTTACAAAACTGAATTACAAATTTAGGAAAGTATAAAAGTTGTTGCATCCGAAACACTTTGATTCTTTGTGGTTCAGGTGACCACAGCCTGAGCATTTTTCTTGCATGCATTTGAGAAGCCTCTTTATAACAAAATGAGTTTGGGTATCTGCTCTAACAGGATGACAAGCTCTGATGTGAGTTTTCTGTAGACCCTGTTGTTGGCAAAGCCTTCACAGATTAGTTCTCCCAAACACGACCCGCTGTAAATGCTCTCCTCTCATCAGGGTGAACGACTGGGCTGTCGGCTGGCCGGACTTTCTGCTCTTCCCCCTGGAAGGGCCGGGGGGCCGTGTTTCTCGGGTGCACTGCTCTGAACCCATACAACGTGCGGGCCCCACTGCGACCTGCGGAGCAGTGCCCACCCACCAGGCAAGCCGCAGCAGATGCCTGCTTGGCCATCGTACTCTCATCTCCCAACTGCCCAAGCAGCGTGTGTCTCCTTGCCCAGCTGGTTGGGCATGTGAATGTGGGATTGCGCGGAGCAGGAAGGGATGCTGGTGTCGGTAACGCACCGAGGAAGGCAGCACAGAGGGTTCTGCAGGATATCGCCGAGGGAAGAGCGCACGAGCACAAGTGGCAGGTGCTGCCATCAGGGAGACACAGGAGGGAGGGAAGAGGGTTGCGGAAGAGAGAAGGGAACCATAACTGACTCACATTTGATGAACTGATGTTTTGGAGACTCATTCATTAAGTTGAATCATGCAGTTCAATTATGAGCTTGACAGAAACTTGAATGACAGCTTCTAGGCTGTATTCCACAGAAGGTTGGTTTAGAATCATAGAATCATAGACTCATAGAATTGTTTAGGTGGCAAAGGCCCTTAAGATCATCGAGCCCAACCATTAACCTAGCAGTGCCAAGCCCACCACTAACCCATGGCCCTCAGCACCACATCTACACGGCTTTTAAATACCTCCAGGGACGGGGACTCCACTGCTTCCCTGGGCAGCCTCTGCCAGTGCCTGACAATCCTTGGCACAACTTGAGGCCGTTTCCTCTTGTCCTATTGCTTGTTTCTTGGGAGAAGAGACCAACCCTCACCTGGCTACCCCCTCCTGTCAGGTGGTTGTAGAGAGCGATAAGGTCTCCCCTCAGCCTCCTCTTCTCCAGACCAAACACCCCCAGCTCCCTCAGCCGCTCCCCATCAGACTTGTGCTCCAGACCCTTCACCACCTTCGTTGCCCTTAATTCTCCCAGTTCCCAAAATTGTTTAAGAACTATAAGGGCAAATCAGGATGGATATAAGAAGAAACTTCTTCGCCATGAGGATGCTCAGGCAGTGGAGCAGGACCCCAGTGAGGCTGCACTATCTCCATCCTCGGAGGTTTTCAAGACCCAACTGGACAGAGCTCTAAGCGACCTGGTCTGAGATGAAGTTGACCCTGTTCTGAGTAGGACACTGGACTAGAGACCTGCTGAAGTCCCTTCCAACCTGAATTATCCAATGAGCCTGTGACTATTGTATTTATTTGGTTCAACATGTTGCATAATATGGTTCTTTGCATTTCCCCTTAAGAGCTTTCTATGGAGCCTGGCAGCTTCTCTTTGATTAAAGCATCTTCCACAAAGACATCTGTTCTTGAACTGAAGAAATCAAAAATGGAAAATTCACTGCCAATGCAAATTTGCTTGCACAGTTAAAAATTCATGCCTCATTTTCAGTTTTAATGTATTTAGCTTCAGTTTACACCCATCGGCTCTGGTACATGTGGTTCTCCCTCCATTAAATTAAGGAGTTCTTTAGCACCCCTGGTTTTTTCCTACGCAGATACTTACTCATCTCAGTGAAAGCACTTCTCAGTCTTGATTTTTACATCAGTTGAACAGGTAGAGCTCTGCTGAGCTTCTCACAATACTGTACTCCAGTCTGATTTATGGTTGATTTCTTTGCCTTTTCCAGATTTTTAATATAATTTTTTTAATTGGGAAAAAAGCAAACTATGTTGAATTCTTCTCTGAACCTTAGCAGCACTGTGCAGAGAGTTACAGGAGGACTTTCACTACTCTTCATCACTATTTTCCTTTTTGTGCCTTTCTGCACCAGCGAGTGCTTTTTGAAAGCTGTCAGTTATCCAGATCTTACTCCATGTAAAGTGCTTTATTTATTTCATATAGTGCTAACTGGTTAATGAGCATGTCGTGGGTAAATCCTCCCTTATGAAAATATATTACATCTGTGCAGTTCCTTTAGAAGCCAAACTTGTAATACATTCAAATAACAAAATCAGATTTATTTGGCAAGACCTCTTGTCCATGAAGTTACGATGCTTTGTGTATTATTTATTAGTTGAGTCTTGTATCAGCATTTCTGTTACTTGGGGTAAAATAACGACAGGGTAAGATGTTCATGCTTGTTTCAGTTGTCTTACCTCCCTTTTTGGTATCAGTGCAACAGAGCACATTCCAGTCCTGGGTACTCCAAGATCTTTTAAAAATTGCCTTCACTGGACTGGGTAACTCCTCGTGTAATTATTTTAGGAATCCCAGCTGCAAACTACCCAGGCCTGCTGATCTAAAAATATTATTTCTAGTAGATACTTTTTAACATCTTTTCTCATTATTAGTGGAAAGTACTTCACTGTTTGCTGATAGAAACTACAAGGGGAAAGTACTATTAGTCAAACACAGAACAGAAATATCAATTCCTCTTCTCATATTAAGAGTTTTACCATGACTATCAAGAAACAGTGTACACCACCTCAAGGCTTTGTTTTGTTTCTGATATTTGTGTTCATTTCAAAGTCATCTTTTTGGTGGTTTTAGCCCTGCCAGACACAAATTTTTCCCGCAAGGTTTTAGCTTCTCTCATCGTTTGGTGCACTTCAAAAATTTTCATTTATAATTTACATCAGCTGTTAAGCTTTTATGGTTTTTTCCATTTTCTTATGCAGTGTTTTTGCATTTTTAATGCTGCCTTCATTTCACCATTTAGAGCTGGATTCAGCTTACCTAACTTTGGTTATCGGAAAGCTTGGTACCTCAGCCCCCTCTGCAAAAAAGAGGAAAGAGCAGAAAGCTTCCAATATTTGGAAGGACATAGTTGTTCTCTGGAGGTTCATCGATTTTCCTCTTGGCAAGCCATGCTGCGGTAGTTGCCCTCACAGTGGAGAAGGGCCCCCGACCCTTTGGTTTCAGGTGCAGAGGTAATGAAAACCCCTTCATTAGCGTCCTGCTCTGATGTTTACCAGCCCACACAGTGACCTACCCACACCATTGCAATGTAGAGTTAAGGTTGGGTTTTGCGTTGAGTGTCCTTCCATGTCTTACTGCCAGCGTGTTGACACTCCTGTTAGGAGGTTTCGGTTACAGCAGTTTGTTGGTGGTTTTCCCCGAAGGAGAAGTTCTGGTCGTTCAGCTCTTTGTTAAGCGCCGTCGTTGGTGTCTTCTACTGCGCGGCCCTGTGCCACGGTGCGTCCCCGGCTGTATCTGTCCGGGTGAGCTCGGTAGTGCCAGGCGGCGTTCCTGGGACAGGCTCTCGCCTCCCTGCTCTAATGGGGCTGTGGTCACTCACGTGCCTTTGGATCAGAGCTACCAGCGCTTTCCCAAACCATCTCCAACCCAGAGGTGATCAGGTGCCCAGACCCATTCCCAAGAGGCAGTTTGGATAAGGCCACCCCGATCGCTTTGATAAGGGATTTTAACAGCACGGATGTGTGCAGATCGTGCCGGAGAGCAGTCGCACAATTTGGTTTAATACTGTAGGCTCCGAGTCTGCAGGGCTGCTGCGGGGGCCGCCGTAGGGCTGGCCGTTGGCCGCTGACCTCCTGTCCTCCCGGCCAGCCCTCAGTTAAGCAGATCAAGCCCCTTGCACCCAAGAGGCAGCCTGTCGGTCTGGGCTGAGCGGTGG